AGGGACACAGCCTCCCTCAGTGGTAGGGTGATTGTCTTGCCTGCAAGAGGTCCTGGGTTTAATCTCTAGTATGACAAAAAAAAAAAAAAAAAAAAAAAAAAAACATAAAAATAAGTAACAAAAGGGCCAGCGAGATATCTCAGCAGACTAGGTGCCTGCTTTGGCAAGTGCAGGGACCAGGATTGATACCCAGTCTGAATGCCATGCTGGCTACGCCCAAGGCTGGGCATGGTGGTGCACACCTGTAATCCCAGCACTACAAGTCTGAGCTGCATAGTGAAACCCTGTACCAAACACATAAAAAAAAAAAGTAACAAAGAAAGAACAAGTTCTCAAATTCTGAATGTGACTTTAAAAAAGCAACTAAATTTCTTTTTTTCTTTTTTCTTTTTGAGACAGTATCTATGAAGTTTGGGCTGGTCTTGAGCTCACTGTGTGGCAGAGGCTGGCCTCAAACTCAGCAATCCTTGTGTGCCACCACATCCAGCTAATTTCATTTTTTAAAGACACTAAAGAACTGAAATAATCCTGCCTGTGGAAGGATTAAGGAAGATGTGCAATATAGAGCTGCTTAACACTAAAAAACGTGGAAACAAGTGTTGAGTGGAGATGCAGCCATGGAGGATAAAGCTATGGACAACGGCATGCACTGTGATCCTGGCCCTTGGGGGACTGAAGCAGGAGGAATGCTGTGGGCTCAGGGCCACCCTGGGGTACATGGTAGGACCCTATTTTGAAAAGCCATAAGAAACAAAGAAAGAAAGAAAAGGCTCCGACATCATGTGAGTATCCTAGTGACGTGGAGCCATCCACTTTGGCTGGGGGAACAGCTAAAAAAATACACAGGGACCAAGCCCTGCTTGTGCAGGTGCCTTCTGGCTGCGCAGCTTCAGCCAAGGGATTTCATTGCCACCACAGCCTCACAAGGGCACCTCCTGCCCCAGCTGGGCATGAGGACACAAATGTCACTGTGGGATGCTGCCTAATACATCAGCTTGTTGTGGTAGGCCAGCGTTTTCCCTACATGTTTAAAATTTCTGTAAGGAACTTACAGTAGGGGGAAAGTTAATAAACAGAGCAGCCCACATAGCAGTAATCCTCTTACCACGCTGCTACGCTCCAAGTCAATAAAGCTTGGATGAGCTAGACGACCCTTCTGAACTCATGTAAACGAGGTTGACCTAGAACCTGGAAAACTTCAAGGCTAAATTTGTCTCTAATATTTTATTGGAAAAAAAAAGACATTATTGCATTATTCAGCCCCAGGAGAAATTATGAGCCTCGGTTTGAGAAGCATCAAAAAGCCACTCAATAAGCCACTCGATTTGTAGACAGCAGCCAGCATGGCCATTACTGTCCTCGTCCCTCAGTGTCCCTGGCCTCTCTGTGATAGGAACTGGAGCTGGTACCCCTGGGCAGTCAGTCGCAAGGGCACTCACTGGTTGCCTGTGTTCCAGCACTGCCACCCCAGCTGTACCCAAGTAGCTGCGTGCCAAGCATTCAGAAAACAAATGGAGCCACCAAATTACTGATTCTAGAGGTTCAGCCTTTGATCCCACCACAAGAGAGTAAGGCAAAGGTCAGTAAGGTACTCTTTAGCTGGAAACTCCAAAACTCTTAGAAACTGCTCCTTAAACAATAAAAAAAAAATAAAAAAAGAAAAAAAAAAAGAAAAAGAAAAAGAAAGAAAAAAAAAAAAGAAAGAAAAAGAAAATAAAATAGCTGGGCATGGTGGTGCACACCTATAATTCCAGCACTCTGAGGCCAGGCAGGAAGGGATGAGTTCAAGACTATCCTGTGTCATTTAATGATTTCATGAGACCCCGTGTCCCATCTTAAAATAAATAAGGACTGGAGCCCGAGAGCCCAGGGTTCAATCCCTAGTGTGTGAAGGGGACCCTAACTTCATTTGACACACGGTTCTCTCATTTGTATTCCTTTGTCTATTTTAATGGATGCAAAGTTATTTCCATTTTGCCTTCAATTTTAAAAACACAAACATCAAGTTTTTAAGGAATGTAACTTGCTCCACGTGTCACAGCTAACCAATCACCCCCTAGAGTCTGGGGTCTCCTGGCTCCCTGGCCAACAAACATCTCCCCCCACCTCCCTAGAAGTGAGGGAAACACGTCTCCATTCCCTGTGCGAACAGCGCTGTGAAGTTTCCCAAACATTTCCAATGGCTTTTACCAGATTCCAGGGAGTGGGACAGAGAAACAGGAGCGGCGTCTAAAGGTGTCCAAGCGTTTCCTTCCGGTTCCTTGCTCAACCAGATTAACTTAAAATGAAACTAAGGAAACCCAGTCAAATATTGACTCGGGGGGGGGGGGGGGGAGGTTTCGGGTTGAGAGGCAGCCGCAGCAGCACGGGAGAGGGCACTGCGAGAAGCCTGCGCCTGGACGGAGGCGGACCAGGGCTCCGCACAGCCTTGTCCTGCGGACCTGGCCTGTGCCCCCGCCAGGCATCTGGGTCCCGGGCCAGGACGGCCAGGCCTCTCCAGGTGTCCACGTGGACGGACTTCCTGAAGCCTCACTCCCCGCCCTGGGAGAGTAAAGGACCTCACAGGGCAGAGCTCTGTCCACCGGGTTTCAAGCAGGCACTGGGAAAGCGCAGGCCCTCGCCAGCCTGCGAGCGTGGGTCCTTGTACCACGGGCAGCAACTCCGCGCCCGCCGGCCTTGGGCTTGAGGTCTGGGTCCCGCGCACCCCACTATCTATCCCTCCACCAGCGTCTTGACGGGTCGTCATAATCCGTTTTTCCCACTCTGGTGTTTATTATCCCGGAGGACTCCTAGGATCTGGGATCGCGACCAGGAATGACTGCTAGGAACGGAAAAGTTAACCCTGACTCAGAAACCTACACGGGCCAGGGTACCCGCGCAGGGACTCTGCCCCCAACTCCGCACGCGTGTCAGCGAATGTGCGGTCACCTTAGGGCAAGGGCTCGCGATGGGAACGCAGGGTTAGTAAGAGGCACGGGGTCGCGGGCGGGACGAGCGTGGCCTCCGCTGAACCGTGTCCCTGAGAGCCATCCTCGGGCAGCGACGGGCGCGCGGGCTGGGGCGGGCGCGACGGTGGGTTGGGGGGCTCAGAAATAAACAGCGAAGCCCCAGTTGTTCAGCCAGCTCGGGCGGCGTCACCCGCTGTCACCTGTGTCCGCACCGCGGCCAGGCCAACCCAAGTACAGCCATGAATGAATGAGCCGCAGGGTGGGATGGGGGGCGGGACGGGATGGGGTGGCAGAGGCTGGGGTCGGGGATCTGGGCGAGGAATCTGGGGTCGGGGATCTGGGACTGGGCGCCCGCGCGCGCCTCCCCGCGGCCCCCACCCGTCCTCACCGCACTCCTCCAGCTCCTCCCCATCCTCCTGCTCCTGACCCCTCCTCCGGCTCTCCGTCGTCCCAATCCTCGTCCTCCTTACCGCCACGGTCCGGGTTCCGCGCGCCCCGAGCATCCGGGGACCCGCCCGCCTCCTGTGCTCTGCCGGGGTCGCCGCCCGGGTCCGCTACCCTGTGCCCCGCCCGAGGCCCCTGCAGCGCGGCGGGCTCCGCGCGCCCCCGCCTCCGCGCGCGCCCCCGACGACTCACCAACCCTCGGCCGCGTTCTGGGCGCAGCGCGTAGCTCCGCTCCAGAGCCGCTCACGAGAAAGCGCGGCCGACCCCGCGCGCCGGGCTTAGAAGCGGAGGGCGGGGCGGCGACCCGGGAAAGTGCCCGGCCCCTCCCCGGCCCAGGGCGGGCGCGGGGAGGGGCCCAGGCTGGGACCGGCTTCCGGACTCGGGGGTCGCCGCCTGAGCTCAGCCCAAGCGCGAGGTCGCTGGGTGCGACTCCCCAGTCACCTGTGCTATGCCTGGTCTGGGAGGCTGCAAAACCGCAACCAAAACCTGGGGAGAGTGAAATTGTTGGGCCGGCTGCGCGGGGCTGCCCTGCAGTTCTCGGCCCCACGGCGCAGTAGCTCACCCGTGACCCAGCAGGCTCTCAGAAACCGGCCAGGAGCCGTGCTCTCTGGGTTGCGGCTCGTCCACCTGCGGGGCAGTTTTCACCACCTCTGAGAGCAGCTTGGGCCTTACCTAGGAGTGGAGCGACCTGGCCAGGCCTTCGCTGCATTTGAGGACCAATGTTTTGTGTTCCCTCGTCCAGACAGGGCCCTTGTGCTTAGGGTTTACACTGGCTCCTGGGACTTTCAGATAATCAACAAAAATAACGAAGCACCTCTGGGTGTCTGGTGTGGCTGTCATTTGCATGATCATTTTTCTGTGCTTATTAAACATCGTGATGACAGAAAAGAACGCATTGGACCAGTTCCCAAAGCTTTGAGATGTCACAACACAAACCCCGGACTGTGAAATTGCTCAAATTGACCAAAGGAGCAACATCACCTGGTGGAAAATATACTGGGAAAGGTAAGAACCCCAAGAGAACGCTGACAATTGAAATTTATTTTCCTTGGACTTATTTTTCCTTTTCAATAAGGAGCTCCGTTTCAGTTTTACAAAGCCCAGGCGCTTCGCCCGTCCAGCAATCACAAATGGAATGGTTGGCTGGGGTGCAAGGAGTGCAAATGGAAATTGGAACCAGCAGCTTTTGCCAATCAATCAAGCTTGAGCTGGTCCCCGGGTTGGTCACATGGACGCTTGAGATGCCAAGGTGTTGCTATAGCTGGGCAAGTGGGTGAGCAGCACTTCCTTGGGCACGAAGCCAGAGTTTTGGCCCTTGTGGCGAGGCGCTTAAGTGACATTGTTCACAGCTCTGGGGAAAATCCCACCATGGGCTTTGTGTCCTGTGTTCCAGGGAGAGGGCAGAAGTTCCAGTACCTGCAGTGTTGTCTGCAGTCATGTGAGGCGGCTCCTGAAGTCCTTTATGGGACTTGGCCAGTAGGCAGGGCTGGTATGTGGATAATTTGAAAGTTTGGCTGGGTGTGATGGTGCAGGCCTGTCATCCCAGCACTCCGGATGCTGAGGCCGGATTGCTGCAAGTGCCCGGCCAGCCTGGGCTACAGAGTGAGCTCAAGGCCATCCATTACCTAGGGAGATACTGTCTCAAAACAAAACAAAGTCCGCAAAGGAATGGTATTGACTCTTCTGGAGGAAGAAAGAGCATGTAGGTAATCATGTTTTTGTCAGTTTCTCCGGAGCCAGTCCTTGCTGTCCTCTCACAGGCATGTCTTGGTTTTGATAGAACAAACTGATTGCATTAAGGAAACATACAGATTGAAGCACTGATCTGACTCTGCTCTGCCCACGCCCGAGCTCCTTTCTGTAACCAGCACATGCAGTTCCTACTCAGTTTAGCCCGGTCTGGCCACAGGCACTTTCTCAGCATTGTTTCTGCAATGGGAAGGGTTTGGGTTTGGTTTTAAAGTTTGGGTGAGAGCCAGACAGAATGGCTCACACCGCTCAGCCTGGCTCTCTGGGAAGCTGAGGCAGGAGTATCGCAAGTTCCAGCCTACCTGGGTACTGTATCAGAGCCTGTGTCAAAATTTAAAAGGCTGGGAATATAATGGTGCAAAGACCCTGAGTTCAGTCCCCAGGAGTAGGAAGGCGACAAAGGACTGAGAGGCTCCATGGGAGAACCTGATGCTGTGGTGGGTGCTGAGCCAGGGGCCTGGACAGATCCATGCTGCACTCCTGAAGGAACCAGACTCTACTGGAGGGGACAGATATTCTGACCACTTTCTGAAGTAGCGCTGGAGTCCTCTTTCTGGAGTGTCTTTCTGAGATCTGATAAGAAACACTGTGAATACTGCTGCTGAGTGTCATCCGCTCTGGGAGGCTAGGCAGGAGGATTGCAGACACAAGCAGGGCCTGAGCCACTTAGCACTTCACGAATACCTTGCCTCAAAGTAAAAGGTAAAATGGCTGGGGATGTAGCTCAGTGCAAATTTCCTGGGTTCATCCCCCCCCCCAAAAAAAAGACTTGAGAACAGCACAACTATGGAGGTCAGCTCAGCCATATTTTGTCTCCACCTCAGCACATAACAAGCACATGTACACGTGTGTGCAGCACAGAAGTCATCCTGAGCCTTGCAGAGTGCACAAGTTCCTGTGTTCTTCTTACAAACACAGGAACCCTGTCTCTTGGTTTTCATTATTTAGGGCCTGCCTGTGGGGCAGTCCAGGGCAGTTGGGGACAAGCTGTAGTGCATATCACAGCCTGGCACTGCTCAGCCACTGGACCCAGGCCCTGTACCCCCCCCCCCTTGGGTTGCCAGGTGGCACCCGCTGCCAGCCCTGCCTATTACTGGGATGGAGCCCAGGACCCTGGCTGCTGGGCCAGTACTCAGCCCTGACCCTGGGGCTCAGCAATCTCCTGTGACCAGGCTCAAAAACAGGAGCCTAAGGGCCAGGGAGATGGCTCAGTGGAATAAGCACTTCCCAGGCAAGCGCAAGGACCTGAGTTCAATCCCTGGTTCTGCCAAAAACAAACAAACAAAAACCAGGAGCCCAGGAAAAAGATGCAGTTTGCTTTACCTCAGCTGTGTTCCGGCCTCCAGTCCCACCTGATTTTGAACAAGCTGTGGGCCATTTTATTGAATGAATGTTGATCAATAAATGCTACCAGTATCCCAACACCCACAGAGGCAGAAGGATTCTTATAAGTTCAAGGTCAGCCTGGAATACTTGTCTCAAAAACCTAAAGGTGAGTAAACAAGAGACCAAGTTATCAGCTTAGAGTAGAGAAGCAAGATCTTTGTTTGCTTTTTTTGAGACAGGGTCTTGCTGTGTAGTTTAGGCTGGCCTTGAACTCATTATGTAACCTGGGCTAGCCTTGACCTCACAGTAATTATAGGTATTTGCCACCACACCCAGCTGAGTAGGTCTTTTTGGGAGTTGGGGGGGGGGCATGAATTGAACTCAAGACCTCGCACTTGCCAGGCAGGCTCTGCTCTACTGAGCTAAATTCCCTATCCCAAGAAGTAGAATCTTGGTAGTGGTTCATGAAAGAAAGATTTGAGCATATCCTTCTTTATGGTAGAGTAGTAAGTCTATGGTAGGAAAAAAAAAAGAGAGAGAAAGATTTGAAAGATGGAAGAAGGAAGCCAACAAAGGAAAAAGACTAATTTTCAGATGTTGAAAGTCAGGCGGAGGACCGTGCTCAACAACCAGCTAGGTGTGGTGTGGTGGCGTGTGCCTGCAATGCTGGCACTCAGAAGGCTGGGGCAGGATGAGCCCTGGAGTTCTGAGGCCACCCTGGTTATCTGCCCAAGACCTCTATGGGCAAGAATAAGAACAAAAACAAGCCATTAA